AGTATTTTACAACATGCTTTGCTGTCTCTAGAACAGAGTGAGAGTTCTGGTTGTCCTGCACATAGGGTGAAGAAAGCATGAAGAAAACAATGGTAACTGTTCCCATTATTTACGAGTTCATGACCAGCTGGGCTAGTTCATTTGGTACCAACGTGTCTGGCTCATCAGGTTTCCCTAGTAAATCACACCCCCTTGGTTTCTTTGAGCAGTCTCACACAGAGGCTGGGCAAAGCACTTGGGCCTCCCTGTTCCCACAGCAGCACGTTGGATCTTCTTGCAAGAAGTGGTTTGTACTACCGGATCACATATATTCAACTCCGTAGTAACTACAGTGTGGTGACAGCTATGTTTGAAGTCACACAGAGCCACGCTGCTGGGGGATGTGTGTCTGTGCAACAGGAGCTGTGATTCCCTTGGAAAGTCCAAGAGCATCCCAAATGTGCTGCACAAGGAAGTCCAGTGTTACAGGTGCCTCCCGAATCTGGGGCTCACTGTGACAGCCCCAAGCAGCTGTGCAAGGAGAGCTGTGTCTCACCAAGGAGGTGTTGCTGCTCTCTGTAACTACAGGTAGCAGTTTTGCATGTGCACAGCATTGTTGCCACTATCAGACAAACTTACTGAGTCCTCTGGATGGAAAAAAATAACCCAGATTTATAGCAAGGTATGTTACATTGGTCAAAGGGACTATACACAATCTTTGGACAGGTATTGTCAAAACTAGAGGTGGAGCTCAGCAGAAAAGGGTTGAAAAGGTATTTGTAACAGTCCTCAAACCCAAACCAAAGGGTTTATTGGGGCAGACAGGGTGGGCTGGACACATTACCCTCATTGCTCCTCTCCCAACCCACATGTGGGACTTTTCCATTAGCACAAGATCTAAAAATCAAACCCACAACTCAGTCACAAAAGAGAAGCCTCTGCTAATTGCTGAGGAATAAATATTTACACTGCATGTTTGGAACTCTGTACAGGCTTTAAATAACTTTTTTTTTTTAAAAAGAGAAGAATAACAAAGCTTTTTCTATTAAGAAATGGACAAAGATTACAGAGCAAAGGCAAGGGACAGCGAGTGTGTGTGTGCTTGGCTGTCCACAGCAGCATCCAAACCAGGAAGGCAATGCAAAGCTCTTGTGGAAGTGACATCAAGTACAGTTGGTGCAAAAGTGACATAGTTTGTAGTGTGAGGAAATAACACTAACTTCAGTCCAGTTCTCTGGTGCAGAAAATTAAAGGGACTTTCCTGGTTTGCAAGTCAGCACCAACTCTAAACAATTCTGGTTTTGAAGGAAATGAACACAATTTGCTCTTTTTAACATATGAGGATGAAGAAAAGGTGGCGTTTGAAGAAGGACTCAGGCTGGTTCAGGAGAGATGGGGCAAATGGCAGGAAAATTTTACTCAGGAAAAATAAGCTTACTTGGAGCCGACGAGAAGGCAACTGTGCCTTGCCTTTTCCTCACCTCCTGTTTGAGCTATCTGTAGTGTGGAGTGGTGCAAAATGCAGCAGCTTGTCCACTCTCTAACTTACATAGTCACTGGTTTTTCTGGGAGACAGATGAAGCCAGGAGCAGGGAGCAGGAGGACAACTCAGGACCATTGCTATCAGTAAAGAGCCTTCCAGCTGACTTTTTTTTTCCCCAGCACTGCTCTCTGCAGAAATATTTCAGATTTTGGCTGTTTATTGGAGCTGCAGGCTGTCTTTTTTTACTGTACAGGCAGGTAATGTGCTGCCTCTTGCCTTGGATGGATGCTCAGAGTGGCAGCAGAGCCTGGAGCACAGCCTGT